CTTAATCGAAAGTTCTCTCTCGTTATCGGGAGGGGTAATTAACTATAGGGGCTTGCGCCTATAGGAAACCAGAACTCAGATCATAAAGTCCTCACAAAATGAGGGCGAAATCTCTGGGTAGTGTCTTATCTACAAACCCATCTGCCTTCCAAAATTTATCTCAGAACTTATTCAGTTAAAACTCCCTCGCCGAATAAAAAGAAATCGTGCGGCGGGGAGGCCGGGGCCAAATTTTCGGAGCCCACAGTTTTCTACATTCTGAACAGAAACTGAAAGTCTGAAATGGAGGTTGTTGGCTGCTTATAATGTGATATTCTGATGCTTAATGAATTAATCTTTCTGATGAATTAAGGTGAAGGCTAAAGGGTATAACTATCAAAGCTCAAGCAATGATGAAAAACCTTCTAAACAGAAAGTGATAGTCGTCGTGTGCTGGTTAATACTATTGCAACCCTAAATTCAAGAGCAGATACTTTATTAATTCATTGATACTACATTAAGTCATTAAGTTTAATGCAAATTGCCGCCTTGGATGGTAATAATTAGAAAAATAAAATATGTTCGAGACTAAAAATTGGCTAAATGTGTTGGAGATTTCGAGGGTTTACCTGAGCTAATCAAATAAAACTTTCTAGTTATACAATTATGCAATCTCAATATCTCATTATTTGGAATTTTATCATTTCTATTTGTTTATTACTTTTTAGTTTTTAGCTTTTAGTGTTTATTGTTTAACCATTTTTAGTTTGCTGTTAATTCAAGTTGAAAACAAGTTCAACAATCAAGATGAAGTGTTGGTAGTTGGCACTTGGCGTGTAGCCGGTATAACTAAATAGGTATAAGAATAAAGAAATGTAATTTGAGTTTGTTTGTAAATTATTTAGTTTGTACTTTGTAGATTGTAATTTGTAATAAATGATTAAATGTTAAATGTAAATTGTCAAATTATATTTTTATAGTTTGACCATTTGGCATTATTATCTTGTTGTTTAAGTTTAATTACTGTTTTGTTGCTAATCAAATTATTGTTTTAGTTTAATTACTGTTTCAGTTTGACTCTAATTTTAATAAATTTTTAAAATTTTCATGGATTTAATATTTTCCGTGTCGGGTCATGTTGACTCTAATTTGATCCGGGTCGGGTCGGGTCCTACAGAATTGAACTGAAACCAGTTTCGAGTCGTGTCAGATACAGCTGGGTCAAACTCGGGTCTGACCCGAACACGACCCACCGACACGAATTGATAACCCTACTCAAGACGAGCCTCATATTGCATAATTTTAAAAATTGGGTGACCTTAACACCCTCTTTAGCAACTTTATCATAATAGTTGCACTTTAAAAAACATATCAAATTACACACCATGCTTCTATGCCTGATTTTTTCTATTTCACATTGTGTTTTTCTCCTTTCCTCGTACCATTTCTTATAAAACCTTTGAATAAAATTTTTTTATTAAAAATTTTGAAACATACAAATATTCAAATAAACAAGAAGCCATGAAAAAATAAAGTAAAGAAAGTAGGTTTAGGAAAGGGAAAAAATTAGGTTTAAAAATTGATACGTGATAAGAGATGTGGTGGAAGAAGAGCTGCGGAAGAAGAGAACTTGACCAGGAACTCATGTGACAATTGGGTGTTGACTATCCCAGAGATCACGTGTGTGAGTGAGGCGAAGAATTTTATTAATTTTATTTTTGTTATATATATTTAAAAAAAAAAAACTAGCACTAAATGGCACACACCTCACATAACACCCAACGAGCCATGTGCCTCATTGTGAATTTCTGGAAAAAAAAAAAAACTGAGGCATGCCTTGAATTGTATCGTTTTAAATCATGATTTTTATCAATATTAGATGAGGATTTTATTTGAATCTAACTATTCCTATCCTACTATAAAGCAGAATTAGAGGTCTTATGTGAATTATAAGTTTGGGAGTTGAATGAAAGATTGCAAGTACTTTTCTTCCTTTATCAATAACGGTTAGCTCAGTTGAATTATGTTTCTCAAAATAGTGTACCACGAATTCAAATGCCGACATCATACACAAAAAAAAAAATGGATAGTGTTCCTTTAGCTTGAACCGTATCTTATGCGTGACCCACACCATTCTACTGAGCAGTTGTTTTCATGACCCACACGCCACCCATAACTAGCATTCATCAGGAAGTCTGTTTGCTAGTATCCGCTGAAAGCTAATCCTAGCATGCAATAAAAAATAAAAGGCCTCGTTTGGCTGCTTGAAGATAAAAATGTCTACAAAACAGTGAATTTACTCGATTTCATTGTTTAGTTGGATTTTAAACTTCAAAAACCTTCAAAACCAGTAAAATGTGATGATTTCCAACATAGAATAAGTGAAAAAAAAAACCCACCATTTTCTGAAACAGTTCTCAACCGTAAGCAACCAAATAAGTCCTGGTTCTCCAAAAATTTTCAAGGATAACAGATTAGCCTAAACCAATTCAAAATTGCTAAAGCAAATTAGTTACATCTAATTTTATATAGTGACCATTTGTGACTTCAAAAACAAAAATAAGCAGCAAAAATGCAAAAAGCTTCCTAATCTTCTGTTATGATCAAGCTTATGGGGTAATTGTTTGCTTTGAGGCCATCTAACAGATCCCGGATTGTCCAAAAAACTAGATACAAGGAACAGCGCTGCTATTGTTCATGAGATAACAATAGCACAGCCGCAAGCGAGAAAGTAGACAACCAAAAAAGAGAACAAACTTTTTTTTTCCTGGTTAAATTTTCCGGGATGAACTTCAGGTGTTCCTAATTCATTTTGAAAGATGAGCATTTGAAAGGTGGAATAAAGCCATAAACCAGAAAATCAAATACTTCTAATTAGTGGCTTTAGGAAATTTAAATATTCATTTAAACATTCAAACAGAGAAGAAGAGAATCATTAGTTGGCCAAGTTGAAGCATTCTACCAGGGTAAAAACGCAAGTGATTAACAGTCTTGAACTGCTAAAGAGATCGATATAAAATTACATGGGAAATAAACAGAAGGTTCAAAATATATACCTAAACAAGTAGCACATAACCTATTTTTAATTTTCATAAGATTTAAAAAGCTGATTGGCAGTGTAACGCTAAGGATCACCATCACGATATAAGAATCTACGTTATGGGAAAAACAGCAACGTGGAAAAATAAACACTTAGTTTTTTTTTTTTTTTTTTTTTTTTTTTTGAGAAATAAAATTCGGTAAACAACTGAAACACTTTTGGTAAAGCCAACTTCAGAACATCCTCAATGGATTACACATCACAAGTGCAGAAAAGCTCATAGGTAAAATAATTTAATCAATAAGATATTAAAAGAAATTTTTATTCAAAAGGAAATAACTGTTACCTTAATTTGCTGTAATTTAACGGCAGAGAGTGTTTCTATTGGTTGGAGACCACTGTTCTCTGCAAGGGCCATTGGGATGGAATCTAGAGCTTCGGCAAAGGATCTGATTGCATACTGTAACAAAAAGGAAAAGGGTAAGATAAGAAACTAAGTTTTAGAATCAGATGAACCATTAAAGCACAGCAGAAAACCAACATAAAGAATAAATTATCCACCTGCTCCACTCCTCGATATCTATATGCAGCAGCGTCAACAGCAATTGAACAAGAAATTTCAGCAGATCCACCACCATACACAATCGACTTGTTACGGATGAGATTCCTTGCCACACAAAGTGCATCATGGATGCTACGCTTTGTTTCCTCAATCATCATTTTATTACCTACACAACGCAAATCCATTAATCAAAATCCATGTATCAACTACCTCAACTAGCTTAAGTTAATAGGGCGCTAATTAGGTAAACCTGAGTACACTTTTAAGTGCGCTAAGCACCAATCATCTGTAATATAACTACTTTAAGTCAGAATTATCTGTCTACAAATAATTATACATGGATATCTATCTACAAATAATCACAGACATTAATCTAGGAAATCTAATGAAAAATGAAAAATAAAAAAATAAAAAACTGCTAAAATTAGCAGATTAAATTTAGTAATATTTTGTATTTTCCCAACAAAGTCTTTCCATAAATCTGGACATGTAGAAGAGGATAAACTTCTACATAAACTTCTACAAGTAAGGTTACATTTTTAAGATGAAGAAATGTCTCATGAGTATTGTATATAAGAGAATAGCATAAATATTTTACGGTAATTTTAAAAACTAAAATTATGTAAGCTATGTAAATTCATGTGTTGAATAGTATAGTCATTTAAAAACAAGTGAAGCATGTCAAAAATGACTCTCACGGCAAAAGTGTCGCAAAATTAGGAAAAAACACTGAGCTATGATGCATAGACATGGACACGGCAACACGGACACGTCAATTATTGAAAATATAGGATATGGACATGGGTTGGACACGGTATTATAGTTTTTATATTTTAAAAAAAGTGTATAAAATTGAATAAGTATAATTTTAAAAATAATTTAGAAATAATAAGTTATTTAATTAAAAATTGTGCTTAAAAAGATTAATATTAGGATGTCGAGAGTCGGGCGTTGATGCAGTTTATCAGTCATCTAGATAGGAGATGACAATGCTATCGAGAGTCGAACGTTGATGTTATGCAGTAAATATTGGGTCAATGTTAAGAAGGTGTTTATCGTCGATGTTGAGAGAGTGTTGATCGTCAAATGTTGAGAAGGCATTGGACAAAGATGAGATGTCAAATTGTGGGTGTAGAAATTGCTAGCATTGAGTATCCATGTAAAGACGACACAGACTTTGATATGGAGATCGTTTTGAAATATTGATATTGTAATGACGTTAGACGTCGATGTTGAGATTACATCGGGCATTGTTATGAAATCAAAGTTGTAACCCGTCAAAGAGAAATAAAAATGATAATATTCGATGAATGGGGTATTAAGTGCAGGAGATTAATTTAAAGTTGTGGATAGAAAATAAAAATTTAATTTTTATATTTTAAACAAGTAAAAAATTTAAAAATTAAAATAAGAAATTATATTTTAAAAAAATTATAAAATATTCAAAATACATGTGACGGTTTGTATTTAATATTTTTTAATCAAACTTCGGCGTGTCCAACACGTGTCGGAGGAGTGTCGGATGTGTGTCGTATCGGATATCTGTAGAACACTACATGCCTCTTTGAGGAGAAGTGTTTGTGCATCATAGTCACTAAGGAATGATTCTCTTAAAAGGGACATTGGGTGTAGCATCCATTAAAGAAAAGATAATAAATATTAAGCTTAGCTAGGTTTGTACATGTACAACAAAGGATACAAAAAAGTCATAAAATAGATAAATAAAATTATTGTCAAAAAAATTGGAAAAAATGGTAGATCAATAATAATATTAAATTAAGTCTACAAAAAGTTTTGCAAGTTTAAGGTTTAACATATAGTTTGAGCATGAAAAAATAAGAATGTTACGATAGATGTATCTTAAAATTATGAAGGATAAAAGAATAATTATATTAAAGAAATGGTTGGAATGACATTTATCAAAGATTAAGTAATTTAAATAAACTTTATAATATGGGCATGTACAACAAAAACTAGAAAATATACTATTAGATGAGTAAATAAAATTAGTGTCAACAAAAATAGGGAGGTGATTATATTAGAGGAATAGTTGGAACAACGTTTATTGAAACTAAATAATTTTAATTACACTTTGTCATATGAACATGTACGATAAAGGATAAAAAATGCACCAATAAGATACAATAACAATATCAAGTCTTTATCCCACTTTTTAGGGTAGGCTACATGAATCTTTTTTCTCCACTGTGTCCTATTAAGAGAGTAGAAAGAATTAGTGTTGCACGAATTAGGAAAAAGCTTATATCTACGAAGAAATATATGGAAGCTATTCAAAAAAATTTGCAATGACTACGTTTAAAAACCAAATAGAATTTAGTATAATAAAATGAAAATTGTGAATCTATATAGTCGGTACAAAATTGTTGGTATAAAACAAATGACGAAAATTTCACCTAACACTCAATAGGAATGAATGGAGGGTGAGAAATCATAAAGTTGGCATCAAATAAATGGGTAATGAATGAAGGATGAGAAATCATAATGTTGGCATCAAAGTTGGGTTAAAGCTAATGATGATGATCTCTCTTTACATCCAACATTTTTCGCTATTTATCATATTTCAAGTTCTCAAATAGATGAGTTAGAACTAATGATGATGATCATCATCTATCTTCACATCCACCCCATATGTTAATTATTTTCATTTTTAGATGTTTTCAACTTTCATTATTGGCACTTATATAAATATCAATCAAAACAATAAGTAGAAATAAGCAAAATAATTGAAATTATTTATTATAACTTTTTTAAATCATATTTATATTCTAGGCATCTGAAAAAACATTGAGCATCTATATCTTTAACTTACATGCATCTTTTAAAATAAAAAACACACAAATAGGCACAACTAGAATTTTTGTTATTCCCTAACGAAAATCCATTATACATGTACACCCTTGAATAATTGTGCAAGTATCCGTTCACAGGTGTCTTACAAGTTACGTTCGGGTCGAGCGAAAGAAGAATGCACTTCAGTCTCAAGATAGCTTACTCGAGGGATTCGCACATAAGCTGGAAGAAGCTTCATGCTGGAGCTTAGCAGATTGGGACCGGTCACAACCTCCAAGCAATTGCCTCCCTCCCAGGGGAAGGGCAGTCTCAGAAGTTCCTCTCTCAGCCCAACAATTCTTTATCTGTCTTAAGACAGAACCAAGATTCTCATGCTGAACACATCCAAGAGTTACCAACACACATTGGTTCTCTCGAAAACCTCCCTCTCACATATGATATAAGACCATAATCAGACGCTACTTGCCATTTCCACCTCAATGGAGCGATCAATTACTCTATCACCTCCCATCTACAACAACTGGATAACACTTACACACTATGTCTCAGTGGGACGACTAGTAATCATCATTCGACTTCATCCAGCACCTTCTCCAATTGCTGATTGGCTCGACACCTATAACCTACTACTACGAATTGATGGGATAGCTACATGCTAGGACTTACAAGCTATAGATGAGCGAATCCCTAAAATACAATAAATCCCTATAACCTGAATCCCCCTAGAATACAATAAATCCCGAGTATACAACTCGTCACGAATTACAAGCTATAGATGAGCGCCGCTTGAAGTCCATTCAGACGTTCTCACCACCGCTAACCTCCTGTCGTAGGCAATTAATGCACCTAGACAGTCCAATCCTAGTGCTCGCTAGAAGCAGTAGGATGAAGCTCACACTTCGAATCCAGTCGCCAATCCCTCTCACCTTCAGGCAAGAGATGAGAACTCTAGTCTGATAGCCAGGCGGACCAAAGGAAATGAACCAAGGCCAACTAACTACTTCTCCAAACCTTGAAGCTTATTGGGTAATACAAATCCTACCAATCATGTGGCGACTTTCGAGTCTTCTACCTCCCTCCTCAACATTTACGATACCCTTCAATGTCGTCTCTTCACCACTATAAAAGATTAAGCGCCAAGGTGGTTCACTCGCCTACCCAGTGGGGTGATCACCTCCTCTGAATTCAAGCGAATGTTCGTCGCACAATTCTTCAATGCCCAAAAACCTCCCAAAAGCTCACAAATGTTGCTAAAGATTAGGCAAGAACCAAGTTAATCTGATGCAGGACTACGTATGAATGCAATTAATTTATCAGGAATTTGCACAACTTTTGATTAGAATAAAAAGTGAATAAACTATTTGTAACCTTAAACAACGAATTGTCAAACCCGCTTAAGCTAAATCACATAACTAGATATTTGAAACTTTCAAAATGAAATAGAAAACAACATTATGATAACATAGTAGTTTCAAATGAAATCTCTAGTCTAACAGTGAAATTAGTAAGCACAAGAGTACACTTAAAATACTACGTTTACTAGGCTTAGCAGAAGCAGGAAGAATCGTCCTTCGTGACTGCAATCAATCACAAGATAAAGTTAGACTCAAGAAAATATGTTGAAAAGGAAAAAGGAGAACCTCTCGTCAAGGATCGGTGGATATCCTCCACTCAACGCCTTCGAACTGCTCTTCGATTGCTTCCACCAAAGTATCCAGAATATGTTCTATGTAGTCTTCGACGGTGTGATTGACCCTTGTATTGACGTCAAAGAAAGTCGACCGGAGAATATCTACCAAGCCGTACTCGTCGTAGGTTAGTCCGTATTCAGTTTCCGATAGGTGTTAATGGAGGAAGTCTTCCACGACGGCGAGTGCTGTTGAAGATTATTGAAAGAAGAAGAATCAAGAAGTTCTCTTCAACTTGTCGTGAAAGTCAATCCAAATTTCCTCCCAAAATCTGAGAGAAATTTCAGATTTTATTCCCAAAATCTGAGAGAAAATTTCAGACTTTACTATTTAGAAAGCAGGGATATTGGAGAAAGAATTAATGCCTAGGATTCAAGTGGGGGATTAATGAGGGAGAGAGAATTTGACAGAGAGAGGGAGGGCCGGTTATGGAGAGAGAGGAAGGGGAGAGGTGGCGGCAATGAAGAGGGGGAAGAGATGATTTAAATCTATTTCCAAAATAAGAATACCACTTTGGAAACAAATTAATCAAGGAGGGGTTAGGGAAATTTCGGTCAAGAGGGAATTAGGGGATTTAGAATTATTTCCTAAGTGAGGGATGGGTTTTAGGAAATAATTAAAAGAGCTTTAATGGGAAAGGGAGAGAGGGGCCGGTGGCATCCAGGGG